TCTCTCCCTCTCGAAATGCTCTCATATGTTCACACGTATCTAGCCTTACACTAGGGAAGTCCTGCTCACTGCCTTCTCGTAGCGAGGATGTTTACGAAATTGAGCGGATGTAGAGCGAATGTTTCGCGCTCTAACCGGGCTGGTTGGATCTACATGGGGGTTGGGGGTCGGAAAACCCTGATTCCAAACCAGTTGTGCACATGAACTTCATTATCTCGTGGGAAAATGACGTATAAACCTATTGTTGATCACCGGCTACCATGGGACTGCATCTCCTTACGTTGCTCCACTGCCTTGTTGATTAGACCTTTAGGTCAAAGGCTCTGGTGTGGTTCCCAAAGACAACCACTTGTTTCGGTTTGGGGACCTGGACAGTATCCTAGTCCACTCATAAATTGAATGGTGACTAATTTGTATGGCGCACATATATTTGGGTTCGCCTTTGTGCCAATTTTTATATGCCTAAATGATAATAATAATAATACCAATAATAATAACATCGGCAAAATCCACTGTCACTAATTGGGTGGGAATATAGCCCTCCTTTTCCAATGTTCAATAAAAGTGTGTTATCTAACATTTTCGTGCATTTTCCATCCCTTCACTATGTCGATGTTGTATATAAACACGTAGTTCTCACTTGGAATTTCATCTCAATTATCCTATATATCTTTGAACATTACTATAGCCCACCTCAATTTATCGGATGAAGAAAGCATAATAAATGAAATGAAGTCTCCAATCGAAATTATGCACTTTTGTAGATGATTCACTTACTCAATGAATGGAGAAATGCTAGATATTGCACACATGTCGAATATTGAGAAAGAAGAGACGCGCTACAAATTAACGAACACACATCCCATCCTTTAATTTGTCGCCACGTAATTTAAATAAATATGGGAACATTAAGACTGTCGAAATGTTGCGATATTTCGCCTTCTGGATATCACCAGGTTCATTAGAATCCAATGGTATGCTTTTTTAAGCATATTTCACTGATGAATGGCTTGAGACTTATAGACATATAAACAGTAGTTTTTAAAGTCGTATGTTTATCACACATGAGAAACCAGTGATAAGTGATAATAAACAGCACGGTAAACCGATAGTAGCTGATCACAACCAAAACAACTTTATATTATTCTGGACAAATTTAATCTTTGTAAGGTATAATTTTTCTACTCTCTTACACTTGATTAATTACTGAACAATGACTAATGTCATATATAATTTAGTCTTTTTAGTACTGATGAAGTTCTGTCGACCAAGTTGCAATGTGACCACTGGTCTGAGTGAATCTTTTATTAGTAGCGACCTTATCACATGAATTAGAAAGTCTATAGAGTATTTAATATATAATTTGAGACAGTACCTCGGTTACTTAATATTGTATTAGTATTCTACGTGGTAAGTTGGTCATATGCAATATAGAACCTGAGAAATGTGTGCATCGCTTGCGTTTGCTCCACCACATTAGCACAATGAGATGAAATTAATAAGATAAATTCTGTATTAATGGAATTAGTAACTTCAGCAGAAAAAATTAGGTAGAAATAATATGATTCAAGAAAAATGCATAGAGTCGTGGGATATTAAAACGGTATAAAATAATTTTGAATCTTAGAATCTGAGGGAAGAAATGTATCTACATCATTGTGACCAATGATAAAACATACTACTCAACATCTCCAACAGATTCATTACTATAGTTATGGTAGTTTAAAATAATTTGACTCATTTACTGTGTGCAATTTTACAAACTTGGTTTTAAGTCACATTCCTCAAGCGAGAATTAATTATACTATTTAACTTTTAAGACCAAAATAGCTGTTATTAGATTCAAACCTGTGATATAATGCTTGAAAACTTAACGACTTAACTACTTAAACACCTCTTCGTTAACAAATTGTTATCATTCTGGTACATTCACATTATCTATTGTCAACGTTACTCTTCCCTTTGTTTATTATGTGTTTATCATAATAATAATTTCCAATCGTAAACTTTTTGAAAACTGTGCTCTCTCTTTGAATTATTGATCATTTAAAAAAAAGTTTGTCTATCGGGTCACATAACGTCAACTTTGCTAATACAATTTGTTACAATATCTATTCACCTGTAGTTTATTTCTGCAAATAGTACAAATTCTGTCCCGTTTGTATTTGTGAAGATTTTTGTAAAAAGTAAAAATTATTTTAGAAACAATTTTCTTAGTGTATTATTATTATTATTATTATTATCAATCATTATCTAGAATTGTGCAAATGAATTAAAATGAAATATTTGACCTAATTTACTGATTAACTTGTATTCACATATACTTGATTTGTTTTGTATTATTACAAGTGCTTTCTCTTTCTTTCTTTCTTTCTCCCTATCTATCTGGGTTTTTTTTGTTTGCTTGTATGTATATTGTGCGAATAGGATATCTCAGACAATAAAAGATACTTACTGGCCTTTTTTTAAATCTTCTTTTATTCACTCTTCCTTCTTATTCTTTTCTCTATGTAAACAGCTGCATGGATTACTTCTAGTCTAGGTGATTAGTAAAAGAGAAGAATTTTCTTCGAGTTAATTCATATATATATATATATATATATATATATATATATATATGTCGCCTTCTCTATTCTTTTCACTATAACTAGTTTTCCCCAGTGTTAAATGTGATATTCAGTTTATCCCTGTAGGGAGGTAGGCAGTATCAATACCTCACCTCTCTCCCTTGTTATATATATATATATATATACATGCGCGTAGTAATTGATAATTTGACTTGGTGCACAAACGAAAAATATAAATTAATGGTTTGCACATCTGTGCTTTCGATTGTTTTTAAAAAAAGGATTTTTTAGAGATTGCACTGTCTTTTAACCGATTCCTCTCAGTACGAGTATAAATATATGTCTGTCTGTATGTGTGTGTGTGTGCATGTATCATATGAAATTTTCTGCTGACTTCGTGAAAATTTTCGTCTCTTCACTGTTTGCTCTAGAAAATCTTTCTTCTGTTCTTTTTTTTGCTTAAAAAAATAATCAGTCTTCAACTATTTCATGAATTACCTGTATTTATACTGATAATTTATGTGATCGTATTTGTACGTTTGTTTTACGCCTTTGTCTTCACCTTATCATCTCAATATCTTTTGCTAGTTTTCTTTCTTGAAATGCATAATTTAATCACTTTGGTTATTTGTATTCATCATCACCGTCAGCACATAATATTAACAACAATAATTGTTATTACTATTTTATCATCCTCATTTATGATTATTACAACGATATGTACAAAGGCAAACTATGTCTGTTTTATAGGTCAACGTGTGTCTTCAAATAATCAGATATAATAAATATAGCTGTAGTCATAAACGAGTAATTTTTTCCACTCTTTTCTCTCATTGTTTCTGATCTATTTTCTCCTTCATCCTCATCCATCTTCTGATTGACGACGTTGATTTCATCGGTGATTGTCACCATCCTGTTCTTGAAACCCCTCAGCTGATATTTTCTTATTGTTCTGTCTTCTTTATGCTTCTGAATTTGTACAGATTCATATTCTACTTTTCTTCTGTGAAGAAGTAATAATGCGTTCTTACTATTTTAAAGAGAAAGTTTTTTGGTTTGTGGAAAAGGGTTTCGATAAATTCGCTAACAAAATTTCAATAATATAATGTGTTACGATCGTTTATCAATTATGTAGTTAATTACTGTCGTCTTAAATCGTTCTTGATAAACCATACACCTATGTATATATAAATAGATTATTGGTTATTTAAAAAAAATTATTTTAACTTAATCATATTTTTATACTTTATATTTGATAAGAATTAGTCGGAGTAGTTCAGTAAGGGGATCTATATTGACTACACTCTCATAACCTTGGTGTTTTAACTATTAACCTGTCAAGTATTTAGATCTACTTCATAGACATTTTCATTATTTATATCAGACATGTTATTATTTCAGTTATTATTTGAAAGGCCGCCTCGTTTATTCGTTTTTAGACCGAACTTTTTATTCATACTGACCGATTTTATATTTATGTATTTGAACACAAATACTGGTACAAAGGGTTACCGAGTACAAATGCGCCACACAAGTCACTTGATTTGTGTGTGGGCTATGATACTGCCTGGGTGCCCAAACCGAAGCGGATGGTTTTCTTATGAGTCAGTCTGACTGACACCCGGAGCCTTCGACCTAAAGTTTTGATCCACGTGGCAGTGGAGCAACGTCAGGAGATGCAGTCCCATGGTAGTCATTTGTTCCCTCAGGACACTGGAGACCATGTGCACCATTGGTTTAGATTCAAGGTTTTCCAACTCCCCTAGGTAAACTCTCCGTGGACATCCACCCGGTTAAAGCACCGGACATTTGCTTTTCATCTTTTCAATTTCCTAAACGACATTCCCGCCACGAGAAGGCAGTGGGTAGGACTTCCCTGGCAAACTCTGTATACGCGTGGCCATGTGAGAGCATTTCGAGAGGGGGAGAGTTGACACTCCCCACCCTCGGCCGTACCAGGGCATTTGGGAGCTTTGACTGAACATCAATATATCTGTTCTTTCATATTATTGTGTATGGAAGAGCTCTTCCATACTATGTTGTTATATACAGATTCATAATTGGACAGAAACAACAAACCTCTTAACATAATCTGGTACTTGAATTTCTCACTTTGTTACTTAACCTGTTTACTAATATCTCAACTAAACTACACGGCAAATAACTCATTTTCTTACTGCACACAAAATCAACGATTGAACATGATTAAGCAAGTGTTTCATATCGATTCGTTTTAGACCTTTATCTTCGATATTTTTGGTTATTTCTGCGTAGAAGCGCTGTGATAATCTCAACAATAATATCTCCTGTATATACTTGACGTCTAATTTCTGTCAAACTGTTTGTTCAGATTTTAAAGAATTTTCGTCATATATACTATTTTACGATTGTGCTAGTGAGATTAACATTTCTTTTAAAAAAAACTCATTTTAGCTTTACGATTCTATGCTTGGTGGTATCAAAGATCCAAACAGTTCAACTGTCAGTGAAAATGATATTTGTTCTCGGTTATCATCGACTCATACAACTCTATCATCAAATTTATTAACTGGTGGAAATTACAATTGTCCACCGATAACTACACCCTTGTCATCATCATCATCAATATCATTATCTTCACGGAATAGATCAAACATAGAATCGATCATTCGAACTGATCATATACATGACAATCGTGATCCTTGTATTTACACAAATTTAAATGTTGTTCCTGTTGGTGGAAATAATACATCATGTATGTCAGCTTTATGCAGTAGTGGTGCTGGAAATGATGATATTGATTCACGTCGTATAATTAAATCAAGTATTATCCCGACTGGTATTGATGAACCCAGTAAACGTGAAATAAAATCTCTTCATTTCCAATCAAATAATCCATTGATTGCATCTTCGGGAATTTTTGATTCTTATTATGGAATTGGTAGGTGGCCAGTTTTTTTTCTTAAAAAATAAAATTTTAAGTGATTATTTATTCATTATCAATTCCAATATGGCGTTTATTTTAATAAAAAAATGTTGTGTGTTGTTGTACTACTTACTATCTATTTTTCCGTAATGCAGTCACATATCACTGTGTTCTATTTGTGTTATTCATAGATTTCTCTGCTTATTATGTGTGATTGTTTCATTGTTGTTCAGTAAAAAATTTCACTGGTTGGTTTTTAATGAAGAAACGAGTATAGTTTGCGTAGTGTTTTCCATTATCTCAATTTTTTTAGAGATTGATCTGTTTTAACCTAGCTATTCTTGTTGAATTCATGAATTGATTGAAATTGGACATCAACACAAACGGATGCCAGCTCAATGTTTGCGCGTAAGATTTAGGGTTCTAGGTTATGTCCCTATTAGGATCGTGGATACACATTGTTGAATGGCTCCATATTAGCATTAAATAAGCTACCCAGTGTTTTCGGGTTTTCTGTTGTTGTCTAACTAGAGTCAGTTTGTGAGTGTTTACTACAGAATTCAATAATCTCCACAAACTCTTTTTTACTAATAATTACTATAATTTGTTTAGCAACTTATATATATTCAGCTTTAAGAGAAAATGCCTTGTTTGGCGACTGCTGACCAATGATATGTACCTCTATTGACCCCAATAGGTATATTAAGTTCGATTCTATAACTTAATGAATAAGCCAAGTACATTAATCAAATTAATTACTAATAAATATGTTAATCATTAGTCTTAACCAATAATCCTGCTAATATTGTTTAAATCTTCTGCCTGCCACTCGTACTGTGGTAACATGGGACAAATCCATGAAGTCATTGACAAGTGGACTGAGCCATATTGGTAGGTGTAGACTACCTGGTTGGGGACCACGAGATGATAGCAACCGATGGTTAGAGACCTTGAATGACATGGCTCAAAGTCGTTTGCAATGGCGCAGGTGCATCCACTCTTTGTGTTCTCCCAAACTTTGATCTCCTTATTCCTCCTTGTCTCTTTTTTTTCTCTTCCCAAATTTATTTCACTGTATTATACTCTTTAAATAACATCTCCAAACACTAATCTTCCCGATAACTGCTTATACTCTTATTACCTCTACCACTACGGGATTTGAATCGACAACTGCATCTCTGTGCTAATGTGGTATGGAAACTCGGACCGATGTACGTACGTACGAAGTTCTACGTTGTTACTGACTGACTGAATTTGTAGTTATGTAAGATTATCTGGCCGGAGGTTGAATGGTTGCTCAAAATCGGTCACAATAGATCAAATACCTTCACTTTAAATCTTCAAGTTCCAGTATTTCTTCATGTAAACCCATTTGATTCCATCATCTCATATTATGTTTTCGATGTTTAATCTTTCTCATGACTATTAGCTATTGCATTTATTTCAATTCCTTTATTATTTATCATCATTAACTATATCATCTTGTGGATATACACTTATATTTATCATAGTCTCTCTATGTTGATAAAAGGAAATCTGATTAATTTTTCTAAGATATTTTAAATAAATTAGATTAAAGAGAAAAGAAAAACGTAAGTAATTGTATACGATTTGTAAATATTATACTATTTTACTTATCATAATTTTACTTTGTTTTTGTAGTAAAATAGCGGAAAAGTTTTAATATAATTACTTTTACAGCTTTAGGTATTATCTATGTGTAGTACACATTAAAAGGGGAAAAGTTAGTAAAAAAAAAAAAAGAAATTAGAAAAAATATTCTGTTATTTGCATTTTTTATTTTGTTTTTTAATCAACAATGTTTGATCAGTGCCTAAAATAAATTCTCTTTTTTTTTTACAATTTTATTCTATATCTGTTCATATTATTGATATGTTATAGGAAGAATTGAATAAACTATGTATTATCATCATTGTTATTATTATTACTATTATGATTAGTATTATTATTACTATTGTGTATTTTGTATTTCTCTTTATCCCCCCTCCCCTATTTTGCATTTTGTAAATTTCTGTATTCTATGATAGTTGTTTACATCAGAGTGTGTTTACTTATCCTTCGTTTTTTTGTTGCCTGTTTTCTTTGCCACCCTCTCTCGCTCGCTTTCTTCTGTCTAACTTTTAGAGAATAGTTTTTCTGTAGGCAACACATCTGTGCTCCAATGTTGTTGCATGTGTTTTTTATTATTATTATTATTATTATTAGTGATTTTGTTATGTCCCCAGAGGTCGCAAACGTGATTTTTTTTCGTGATACTGCTTACACGTATTTGTTCTTTGTTGATGTTGTTGTTGAAAAAAACAACAACAAGAATTAGCTGATTCACAAGACAATTTGACTGTGTATGCAAAGCCCTAAGGCAGTGTGATATTAGTTTATTTGCTTATAATCCTTAAAATTTTATTCTTAGCCAGCCAGCCCCCTTGTGCTTCGATTTGTTTTGTACTGAGTAATTGAAAATAATCTGCTTGTTTTCTGTTGACCTTAATTCTAGCTTTTGCTTAAAATAAAATTTCTTATGCAAAATTAATGTAATGCTGTTTATTTGAGAATTGGTTGATGCAACTACTTTGTAGATGAATTCTCCTACTACTTCTGTTGGTCAGTAGTAGTAGTGGTGGTAGAACTTACTGAATAAAACGTATCTTTGTGTGCAGTTGGTGCATATCTTGCTTCTTTGTGATCCATGCTAGTTTTTCATTTAATTGACTTGTCACAGCTTAAATTTCTTGTCATTTCTTTTTATTTATCTGTGTAGATTCTGTGTGTGATGGAAATACAATTCCAAGCGGTTGGTCAAATACAACTAATGTCATTAATCCAGGTTGCGTAGTGGCAGGTTCTGTTCATACATCAAATTTTCCTTCACATATTTCCAATGATAATAATAATAGTAGTGCCTGTCAGTTGACGTCTGAATTGACTTCTGTTCCCACCTATCCCAATTCTAATCCCTCTATCCATCCTGAATCTACTCATCCGACACATGTAAATATGGTAAATTTATCCTGTTTTTTAGAGGGTGGTATTGAGTTATTATTATTTTATGTTTGAAAAGGAAAACACTTTAATTTGCATTGAATATTATTTACTCCGCTGATCAATTTTGACTAGTCTGCTGTTACTATCTACGATTGTGTAAAATCCTCATTTTTTGGTGTCTAGCTATCAATTTAAAACGTCTTGCTATGTTTTTGTTATTCATTGTTTATATGAACTTCTTACACGTTATTTCGTAAGATAATTAGCATTAATGCAATTATTCATCATCAATTATTAAAACTCTGTTGTTTTATTGTTTAAACTTTAGTAGTCGTCTAATTGTAACTTGTAACACTTTCTTCAAAATAGTGTTTCCAGCATTAAATGTTTGGTGAATAGGGAATGACAATGTTCAATATTTTTATTGAATACTTTGAGAAAAAAACTCATATCGAATGCTCTGTTAAATAATTCATAAGATAATATTGTTCATTGAATTTTAAATGGATGAAATTTGTAATAGATTGTCATGGTAATGACGGAAATTTATCCTACAACATTTTATGAAATTAACTTATTACTAGGCTTCTTGGGCCACATCGGTATAATTTTTTTCAAAATGATAATGATTGGTTGGGTTATTTGACATTTTTCATTTCAACACTGGTCAAAATGTGAAGAATCTGTGCAACAGAAAGATATACTTAATGATAGAACAGTCAGGTTCTTTGAGATGCGTCTTAGATTCAGACACTCATTAAGTGATGACTTAATAAGTAAAGCTCTCAATACTTCATGGCCGTAGGTTTGAACTCAAAAACTCTTAATTCAGTTTTGGAATTGTATAAATATGACTATCTTTCAAAATGTATTATGTGTTATAGTGTGATAAATTACATAGTTTTGTGATTGTGAAGATTAGTGAATTGTACTCTGATCGAACATGTCAGCTCAATCGATATGTTGTGGCCAAGTGATAACAGCTTACGAGATCTGAACATCTACTCAATCCCATAAATGAACTAATTTCAACCGCACGAACGCTAACCAGAAGAATAGGTTTTTTAAGTAGTACAATTACGTGTTTACATACAAAATGCTTAACATAAAAATATGGTGGGATTTCTCAAATAATTGGAAGATATATCAGTTTTATCGCTCACTTACTCGTCAACAATTTAGAATCTAACTATTATGCCTAATTCTTGCTTCGCTTATCATATTATTGTTGAAGGCATCAACCTATGCTTGACTCTTCACCTCTCTGTCTAATTGATATTTTTTAAAATTTAAGCTTGATCCGATTAGTCTATAACTTAATCGGGAAACATTGTAGATAGTTTTGAGAAAATATTATGTCATTTGGTTTTGTTACAGGGAATGAATTATTCTGGGGTCGGTGGAGTTGGTGGTAATATGTATGCACCGACTACATTACAACCTTGTCCATTGGTTGGATTATCTGATTCTTCCATTCAACACCCATGCAATATACCTCAACCTGGTAAGTTGACTGTCAATAAAAAACACATGATTTGTGTGTGCTTATGCATTCATTAGAGTAAATTTCTATAATATAATTTATTTAGCAATGTAAATAATGTTAAGTTTCTATTATAGGTATGTAGGTAGGCTAAAATAATGGTTGGATTTGATTGTTAAGAATATTGTTAAGATTCTCATGCCTTTTTTAGTCCAAATCATTCTGTATAAATGGAAAATATTTTGTTTGAAAATTAATTAGACCTAAATGAGTACAATTATTTTTACTTAGTCTAAGGATTTTTCAATGTTTATGTGATAAGGTTTCCAATCTTATTAGAAAAATTCCTTTAGAGTAATTTATCTGGGTGCAAAAAATGTCTCGTTCTAGATCATTTATGTATCTATATGTATTAACACACAAACGTTGGTAAAAGGAGTCACCAAATATATATGCGTCACACTGTAGCGGCTTGGCTTCGTTTATCAATCAACCTGATAACCGTTATTAAATATACCCCAACGGTGTATGAATTCAGAAGGTAACAAGCGGCAATTACAGTTTATTATTGGATAACACAGTTAACAAAATTTCAAACACATCGAGGCGAATTGGATCAGAGACGCTAATGTGTGTAAGCGAGCGAATACAGAGGCAAAATTATAGTGAAATCGAATCGAGGCGAAGCGAAGACAATTAATAAGATTCAAGCATATATGTTTATAAAGACATGATAGTGATCGTAATAATACAAAAAATAGGCAAATTGTTACTGTCTGTTGTTTAAGCTAAATGAAGAACTACACTGGTCCCGCGTGCGTGACCGTGGGTTCACACTGCTGAAGAGGAGTCCTATGCCAGGACGAAACGGCCATCCAACGCTTCCAGGTTTTTAATGGTGGTCTAGCTTAGATTGACATGCGATTTAAGCTGTGAAAGTACTACAATCTCCACAAATTCCCATACTGATAATATTTTGGTTTCACATTTTTATTTAAATCAATCATAAATATTACCTGCTTCGGTTTGGGCACCCGGCCAGTATCACAGCCCTCACACATATGAAATGAGATTAGTGTTGCGCATATGTATTTGGTGCCTCCTTGTACCAATATATATGTGTTAAAATAAATAAAATAATTCCTATTTCCTATGATGGTTCAGTTGCAAAATTCTACACAAAAACTTGATTGAATCTTATTTCTGAGTTTATAACATATTACATATGAGATTGTAAACTGCTTAATGGACAGTTGATAAACAGATCTTCACTTAGATCCCTTCACTTTGGTTATTCCTCATCCAAGTCAATGTTGATTTTCCAGAAAGTGAACTTATATCTCTATTTGTGTCACAAACAGAAACACTACTATGGGATCCTTCAGACTGCGCTTTGCAAAATAGCTGTAGAGCTGATGTGTTTATTATGATAGATCGTTGAGTAGTAGTAGTAGTAGTAAACAATCCTGTATTACTATCCAGTGTTTTGTTATAATCGAATTTATCGGTCAAATATTATTGTGATTAGATATTAGTGCATTTCATTCTTATGTAATGTACATACGAGGGATTCCACAAACTTTTTATTTTAGCACACAGTGGCAAAACCATAGATTAATCATATCAAACGACCTTATTTGTGTACATGCTTTGTTTTGTTCCTTTACGCTTACATTTCCAGAATTAGTCGTGAAAATATTACTAAACTGTTTCTCTTTTTTGCTATGACCTTTATGTAAGGGAATTTATTGTCTCTGAATTTAGGTACAATTTAATGAGTCATCCATCGTCTATAAAGTAGCACTTGTCATTAAATGTAATTCAGATGTAGATCAGTGTCTTACATACTGAGAAGTGTTATTTCTCCTCCTCACTCTTTGTTAGTAATCTAAGTGTATTTTGAACATAATTTCTTATTATATCTAATTAGTGATCTGGCTGTTTGACTGACTATGTTTTAAGTGAAACATATAAGCGTAGTTGTCGTAGTAATAGTTAGCATATAATTAAAAATCCTTTTTTTTCACTTCATTTTATCTTCAAACCAGTTTTATGTAAGAAATTTTTGCACATTGTAGTTTTCTACTTAAAAAAGATTGAAGTTTAGTCGTGCCCAGTAAAACCTTTTGATGGTTTGAAATCAATTTTTGTCCAAATTACACTTTGGTGTATAAAATGACTATTCATTTTGACCATGTACTTAACTTGCTTAGGCTGTCAACTATGCAAAGCGATAATAGATTCAAACCTCATCATTCTAGCTTGGACAAAAGGATAATATTACACATTGTTACTCTGAGAAACTTAACTTAAAACGGAGTAAACAAATCCATATTTAGTTCCAAGTTTTTACTGTGATGATTAAAAACGTGCTTAGTAAAAACTTTGTTCGTTCTCTTTTTTTCTTAACACTGAAAATTGAGGGACATTTATTATGAATATAGCGGTCTTCAGTGTTGTTATAGGTATGACAGCGGTTATCATTTCCTGGTTACCCACGCCGTGGAAGGGTTCCTTTAGAGATACCTGAAAAGTAAATTTGTTTAGAGATGGTCTGAGTGACCTGAGAGTGAAACCACAGGGCTCAAGGGACAGCTGTTTGAGGCCAGTCACACTCGACCATTTTCTGAGTAATTTCTATGTTTGCTCCGTACTTGTTGAAACCTTACCGCCGGAGACGGAAATTCACGGGATAAGGCGAGGTATGCACGTTTAGGGTCGCCCATTTCTAACCCCGCCGCTCTTTATGGGAAGGCAGCATCACTATTATGCTGGTTGTCTGAAGGAAGCACCTAACTACCGTCAATCATCTGTACAGTTAGCAGTACGACTTCGCCCTCGAACCTTGGGTTTGTTGCTTTTTGTCTTACCGCTCTTCAACTGACCTACCTGGCATGGTAGAACCTTGAGGAACGATTATTCCAGCCAGTATAGCTCGATTGCTTTATCACGATAAACAAGCCCGATCACCACGTCAAAGTGGCAGCAACGGTCGGGAACCGTTATATTAAAATTACTTTATACCTTTCTTCCTGCGAAGTAGTTATTTTTCCCTGTATCATGTCCTTATATACCATCTTGTCTTCATATATTACTACCATTTAAGTAACTGCTTCGACTTATTTGGTGTTCATCTTGTTATGCTAAAGAGATACGGTAACTTAGACCAATGAATATATGTGCTTCGTCCTATGTTGTATATAATTGACTGACTTTTCCCAACACTAGATAGATTTTTGACTTATTCCATACATTTTCGACTATCCGGTTAGGTGTCTAGTACCCATTAGTTTATCAGTTTGTTTGTTGTCACAGATAGTCATAATCTATCTGTCCAATAATTTCATTAGGGCTATTGGTTTTTTTTTATGGTCACCAATTATTTGTTGCCAGAGTACTCTAATGCTATTCACAACAGACAAACTGAATTGTTTAGGAATCATCACTAATTAATAATCAAAACTATATTAATAATGGTGATTTTTTTTGTTATTGCATTAAAATAGTTCATCCTTTAGATCCTAATCCTTCATATTCTTCCATTGGGGAATATACAATTCATCGTCAATCTTCTGATATAACCCCACCATCTGGTCTATTACCTTCAGTTGTCTATGAACAACACTCACTTGCAAATCTCAATACACATGTATGTGTTATTGTTGTTATTAACATACATACTTTTTATTATTAACCTTTCGTTATGCATTATTAATCATTTTTTTGCTTAGGCTCATTCGCTTGTGTGTATGTGTGTAAGTATATTTTGATGAATTAATTGCCTATGGATCTTACTCATTACAAATACGATCTCTAATGGGTCATGTTTTGGATCATACTTATTGTTATTATTATTATCATCATCATGATAAGATCATCTTGACAACATAACAAATGCAAATGAGCAACGAAAATTCGCATAATTCAATTTTGCTGATTCATTGATGTGTCTATCGTTATTCTGTTTTTCTATTTTTTTCATGTACCTTCGTTATTTGGTTTTTTCCTCGTATCTTTATTAATTAGTGGTGCATTATTGCATTTCTTTACAGCTATAAACATGTAATTTATATGTGTACTTTGATATTATGTTATCAAGAGTTTTCATCTTATAAAAAATTCCTCCAGTACTTTTTTAAAGTACATTATTGTTAGGTTAGAAAAGGGTTATAGAGATTTCTCGGTTTACAATATACATCACAGAATTATTTAAGCCAAACACGACTGATAGAAATAAGGGAGGACTGAACAGTTGTTTTGTTTCAGTGTTAGACTTTTCAAGAATGGGAATCCAAGACCCTGCCAAGGTGTGAACGTGCTGTCCTTTGTTTTAATAGAAAGCGCTGAGCTGTTATCCAATTATATGGACAACCATCATTCATTAACATGAGTTATACCTGTCTCATATACTGTACATCGCCTGCACATATAGCCTATAATTTGAATCATAATTGATTCAGCTGGAGTTATCTGATTTATATCTTTAGTTCTTTTTCTCGAGTGTGAAGGGTTAAGAATGAGAAGAAATATGTAGAGTATTATCTTAATTTACGCTATGTTTTTATGCGTACCCATAAAATGTAATACTTATTCTCTGGTTAACATTTAGTTTGAGGAAGCCTAAGTTTATACTACTTATCTAATGATTAGGGAACTATTCTTCTGTTGATCAACTTCAGAAAATATATTCTCACCTTTTCCATTTGATCATTCTTCAACTAATCTAATAATTCTAAAAATGATGTTAACGTTGCAATAAACGTAAACCATTCAGTAAATGGTACGTTTTGTGATAATATTTGAAATATATATAGATAGATTCTGTGAAGTGTTTTTATTATTCGTTTTGTAATTTGCCTGCGAAATGTTTGACTTAATTTGTTCTCTTTTAATTTCATTCATTTCAGAATACAACTTCAAATAATAGTAATAGTAATAATAGTACTACTACTAATAATAATAACAACAATTATCAAAGTGATATGATGAGTTGTAGCCGTGAGGCACTGATAGCATTAGCAGGTATGTTTTACTTCGTATTTTAATGTATTTTAAATTATTCTCGTCATCTTTCTTGTTTAAATCCATACATTTGATATATTCTCTAGAATTTCTTCTATTTGTATTGTAGTGTCAATCATTATTTTAAGCCCATATATCTTATGCTAGCTTGCGGACATTCCATTCTACTCATTCTACTTGAGTCATATTTTGACCTTGTCAATTATTTGCTTATCAGTCTTGACTGTTTTTATATGAGCGTATATGTGTGTGCCCTTCTTATTCTATTAATCACATGTCTGTAGCTTTATTTTGTCTGACTATAAATATTGAGTAACGCTTGACTAAAATGGAGTTGGCTTCCCAGCCATCTTCCATACGTGTCATTTTGCTTTGCTATGTTTCATTCGCTTCATATACAAAGTATATGTATTCGCAAATCAATTCTCGTTATTCGACTTATTTAATTCCGTTATTGGATAACGCGATTTAAGTCGACGATTATATACGAGAATAGGCGATAACAAACATTCGTACGATCTAAATAGGAGTCAGATCCGCGGGCCACTAAAGTATCTCGGATTATTATTGTCGATTTCATGATCAACTTCATATTTTAATCTGATATCATATATTCCATTTTAGTTTGATGACAGTTAAGAGTTAAATATTAGTTGAATAAAAAAGCAATGCAAACTATGATAGTTGATGTCAAGTTTAAGTGAACTAATATTTTGGGATTAATAAGTTCGTTACCATATACATTATTCATTTTATTTCGTGAACTCTCATCGACTGTTTATGACATTGTTCGTATAGAACTACAGTAATCATGATAATAATACATCACCTTGAGATAGTGGGATGATTTATAGCTTACGAAGATGATTAGGATGAGTTAGCGTTCTATGAGATAGGTGCTTCACTTGTGATGCGTTCATGATCTTTCTAGACTACATCATCAGGACGAACATTAAAAATAATGTGAACTATGAAAACTTTTTTGTCATTACATTTTTCGATTTGCATAAAATTGACTGAAATGATTTTACTATCTTTTTTAACCACGCCTGATCCTAAAAATTAATTTATTTTACCTTATGTAGTGAAATTCGTACAAACCGAAATTGACATTCTTATCTTTTGCACATTTCATTATTTTTTCAGTATACAAGTTGTATTGATCTCAAAAAGTATGTTGATATTTTTTTATTATAGGATCTGGCGCAGATGAAATGAATTTCACAACTCGTTCATCTAATATAAGTTTAACACATTCCTCTACACCAACCTTATCTGCTAGTAATTCTACATCTCATGGCGGTGGTCGTGGAACAAGAGGTGGTCGTGTTGCTGGACACAAGCGTCGATCATCATCTGTTAATCCTTCCAATTCTCTTAATTTAGAATCAAATGGAAATTCCATCGAAGCTAACACTAGCGATATGACTTTGGGGCTGTCGAATGCTTGCCCATTATCCTCTAATACTGGTATGAGCTCAGAATGTTCATCTCTTTTCGGTGATTTTGACAGCAGTAGAAATTTCGGACATGGTCGTACGCCAAGTGTATGTGGTACTGACTCTGAAGAAACTATTGACCCAGATGAAACACCTGAGCAAAGAGCTGAAAGAGAACGTAGTCGTAGGCAGGCGAATAATGCACGAGAGCGGTAAGTATGCTATTTGTAGTTAAATATGTCAACGATACTGTTCATTGATTTTCTTGATTCAGACAGACTGCAAATTTAATTATAAATAGTCATAACTTAGTAGGCAACAGGACAGGTGTGCATCGTACCTAGTTACTGCGCTTTATATCACCACACTAAATGCTTATAAACAAAATAAAATTTAACGAAATAGAAATAACAGTATCAGTGATCATGAAGAAGACTAGACTTTGGAAACATAATTAAAAAATCGAATATCAGACAGTATCAAAATTCGATGTTTACTGGCAGACAGCAGACAGATTATTATTTTTATATTATTTTTGATACAATATGGAATTCTCGGCACAAAGTATTTCGATAAATTTCATTTTCTTATTTTTTGACCGGCAGTTAGGTGTTAGCAGATCAGAAATGGACATCTGCATAATGTTCATTCTTTTCAATCCATATTGCCAGCCTCCACGATGTTTCCGATTGTACTTTTGTGTAACTTGTACAACGAAAGGTCGTAAACTTTTCATAAACGCACCTGAATAGGTTATGAGATTAATGAACATAATGATTTGTTAAAACAAACAAAAACAGATAACTTGTTGAAATATTTAGGTGTAAAGAACAGGTAGCCCCGATACTTAGGCAGGTCGCCTTGGTTATAGGGATGATGATTAATTTGTAAATACCAGTTAAAAACTCTACATGCCCTAGTACCATTCACAGTAGCAATCATTAACTTTGTGAACTGATCACCCCTAACTTTCTTCGTAACTGCTCCTCCTATGCTAGCTAGGAGTATAGCTTGAAAAACGTGTCTGCGAATGTGTTATACGCGGATGATGACACTTCACCACCTTCATAGACCACCTGGTCATTTCTTGTAAGTGATCGCTTAGTGGTTCCATCATACTTGAACATTGTTTAGTTAACATCCGTGATTAAATACTGAGAACATACATATATTTTAACTTTCAAACATAATATTTTCAATCATAAATTAATATATAAAAGATTTGCTACTAAGAGATATCACTCTTGGACAATATATATATTATTAGGTTATTTAATAATAGTGAAGTGTCAGCATTTTTCATGTCTTGATTCTTTTGATTGTTTTTTTCTTTGGAATGGAAATGTATTCCTAATAAATATTACAAGAAATTGCTTTGCTTACTTCAATTTTGTTATGAATTCCAGAGTTGTTCTTTTCGGACAATTTAATTTTTCACTGTTAGAATTGTGTAATGTAGTACACTTTTTTGGGGAGGGGGTGATGCTTTTTTGCGTATTCCTTGTTTTGAATTAACTCCATGCAATCGCTTTTCTTTGCTACTGAAGTGGTTATTAATTCGGAACTGTTTAAAGAGGATTCGATGGGAAACCTCTAGACGTAGGTTTCGTGTTACGTCGTGCTCATCAGCGAAGCGCACATGTAATGTTGGTGGGACTGATACTGCCCGGCCGATTTAATCTCGTGTCACTCAGCTACACAGAGAAGTTACCATTGAGCTATTCGGGCAGCTACTGACCTTTAAAACTGAGCTGTACCTATAGTTGATTAATTACTAAGTAGTGACCACTATCATGTATGTCGAGTCCTGCCAATGAATTTGGATGGTATTGGATTTAATCCAACACGGAGCATCAATTCCCCCAAGATTACATGTACTCCTTGCTGATTGGTGTCAAATAACACGAAATTGAGGTCAAACACGGTTTCCTATCGATTACTTCCAACCATAACCTTACATCTCAAGTTAGTGCACTCGATATCAAGGCACTGAAATTAGTGACCACATAAATTGATCGGTAGAATTCACTCAACTCTAAAGAGGAATTGACACCCATGGCATTAATCACTAGTTGGTGATCAATCAATTGTAAAAATACGTGAAATACCATTTTGTCTGTCAGGTAAGGTGAAGACGCGTTTTAAAGTAAAGACAAATTTCACTTACTGTGATCGTATTTGGAAGTATCTAATCTTGTAAATCAATTAAATCAAATCATTTCGTTAACTAGATTGTAGTGTTTTACGTATTTCACATTATGTTTACTTGTCCATTATATCCATAAATTGTACAACAACAAAAAAGATTACGAGTTCGTGAAATCAATGATGCTTTTAAAGAATTGGGTCAAATGATTAATTTGCACACGGGAAATGGTCAACCTCTGACAAAACTCATGATTCTTCAGCAAGCTGTAACAGTTATCACAGGTTTGGAACAACAAGTTAGAGGTTAGAAGAAAAAAAACATAGATATTTTTAAAAATCGTTTTTAAGTTCTGCTTGATGTTAGCATGTTGTCATAATCCTCAGTATTATGCATGTTTATATCTCTCCTTTTCTTTCATCTTAACCTCCTGGATCGTGGTAATATTATCTGTTACATCATACTATCCATTACATATGTCAATCTGGTTAATCGCATTCCTGTGTGTTACACTTTATGTATGGTATGCTCTTTGTCTATCAAAGTATTCGAGTTCGTGACATCAATGATGCATTCAAAGAGCTTGGACGCATGTGCATGATGCATTTAAATAATGAACGACCACAAACCAAACTTACAATTTTACAACAAGCTGTTTCATTAATCACCAGTTTGGAACAACAAGTTCGTGGTAAGTAGTTTGTGTACTTCATGTGGTTACATTTCTGTCGTAAGATTTTATTGGGAAATTTATGAGTGTTTAGTTTCTCTGTTTTATTATTTACTTTATATGTAAGTCTAATAAATAATTACTAGAAATCAGTTTTTAATTTTCACCATTGATGATAATAAGAGAACGATTGTGTATTCATTACTTAAACACGTTTTTTTTATGTGTATAGTCACTCCGCTACTATTGAAGTCCAGTTAAAAAAAGAAAACACTTTCTGATTCTAAATATAATGCTTTCGATTCGTATGTGAATATTCTATTTCGTGCCTTTTCTTTGGTTTTTGCTGGCTAACTGTGTTTATCAATACTTTATGCTATGGAAATAACATATTGATGACCATTTAGGGAGGTGTGTATGTATGAACATACGGCTACTTGGATTTTATTCTGCTTTTTTAGTCAGTGGTTTTGAGACGCTAAGTGATATGGTTAGTCGAATTTGGACACAATGGCCTAGATGAGTTTTCTGTTTATCTTTTTCTAGATCTTGAGTTCCATCATTTCCTCATACATATTCTCTGTGTAAGGGATTCTTCCTAGTTGTAATTGCTGTTACATTATTTTGATTATTTTTTATATTCGTCTTGATAATTTCATTTGACTGTGCAGATTTGGTAGGAGAATTTTGTCTAATGCATATTAGTGCCATCCTCTTTATTGATTATGATTGACTGACTGGTAAAAAAAGGGATTCAAATTAAATAAATCTATATTGGTGAAAGCTACCCAAATAAGTTGGTTATATATAAAGTGTATTCTAATTGAGCTATTTTCGTCAATGTGTAAGCGTTTAGCAACATTTATTTCATTTGTTGATTTAGGTGTTGTTGTTTTTTTCATTCTTTTAGAAATAACCGTTTTTCTTTATTTTACTTCTCAGTGGATTGATTTACTACATAAAAATTCTGTCATCAATCCATGGTGTATAAACGTTACATTTTTCTTAAGTGATAATACATCTTTATTATTATTTTAAGTAATAATCCTTATTATGGTGAATAATAGGATAATAGTTTTAAACTACTCAAATTTTGAACATACAGATCATACATTCAAACCTCATTTCATCCACTTTATTGTTTTGGCAGCCAAATTAGTATCACTAGCCCGTCATATTGATAAACCTAGAGAGAGAGAGAGAGAGAGAGAGTTGTTGAATGTGTTACGGCTTGTTTTATGTTCTAGGCATTTAATTATAAGGTGACAAATATTCATTTTGGAATTCTTTTTCTATGAGTTATAACTTACTAATGCTGGCCTTAAATCTGGTCATTTATAGAATTATTAATTTAGATATATAACTGTAGAACCTGAAGATAATTTATTGAATGTTCGTTCATATATCAATGTGTTGGATCGTTTACTACTTAAGTATTTTATCTCAAAAATTAGTGAGACTATAACTTATAGACGACCTTTGAGCGAAGCTAAAGTGTGACCTTGAAATACCCACATACTAACCAGGACTAAATGAAGGTTATAACGAAGTGTGGTGAATTGGAATTATGATTTACGGGTGATGATTAGGGTTAGGAACTTAATTTAGGGTTTTCATCATGAACTGATATCAGATAAAATGCCAAAACACTTTAATCATATGAACAAATGAATTTCGCGCCAAAATCCATGACCACCTATCTTATATCTGATTAGTTTGTTCACAAATTATAATCTCACCCAAAAAGATCATGATCCTTATTGTAGTATCAAATTAATTTTATACAAGTACTTCCAAAATGGGATTGATAATAAAACAGTAATAGTATTAATATTATTATTATTATTTATTTATTTATTTGAACACATAAATATTGGTACAAGGGGGCAGTAGATATATATACTCTACACAAAACAATGAGAATTCGAAGAGAAAAAAGAAGGTAAGGAGCGTAAAAGAATAAGAAGAAGAACAATAACGACCAGATTAGTGTATGGTAGTGAAATAACAATAATAATAATGGGGGAAACGGAAAGGTCCAACCAGAAAGAAAGTAAAATAAGGTTACAGCAGGATCGCCATTGGCTTCTATTCTGAGCCATATCTGATAACGTCTCTAGCCACTGTGTTGCACCATTTCTCGGACCCCAACCAGGGAGTCGAGAAGGACCAACAGAAGCTAGCACTTTGCAGCTCTCTTTCATACCACGACACCATGTCATATACTGACCACCTCTCCGCTTTTTACAACCAGTCCCAGAGTCGGCAAATAATGCACGACGTGGAATTCTCTGGGATGACATTCGTAGAACATGTCCAAGCCACCGAAGTCGATGTTTCAACATGGTGACACCAATTGCATTATCTTCTCTGCACCCGAACACACGATGCCGAACCTCTGCATTACTGACATGGTGTTGCCACTGGATGTCAGCAATCCTTCGGAGACAACGATGATCAAACACAGAGAGTTGTCTAACATCCTGAACTTGGAGAGGTCAGCAGTTCACAAGCTTAGAGCAGAATTGCTCTCATCGACGCGTTGTATTACTAGTAGTGTAGTGAAGGAGAACACAGGTGAGGACAACCGAATTATATTTAGCACAAAATTACAGAGTTACTTGGTAAAATAGAAAAACCATACTATAATACTTAACTTGCAAAATGTTCAATAATTGTCTCGAACTTCATTATTCTTACATTTCCATACTAATTACTTTCTATTCCCGTTCTTCCTTTCTTGATCTTCCCCATCTTCTGCCGCCAGACATTACATTCCTGACTCGTGTCATATACTACTACTTATATCAATATAAGTAGCACGCACCACAGTAGTAGTAATGTGTTTGTTTATTTTAGTGATTTGTTCTATGATTTCATTATTTCATGATATCACTAAAAATCGTTAAATTCATTCACATATATTATCATAATTCATTATCTCTTTTTTTTCGTTTTTGCATGTGTCAAATAATTTTTGTTTGTTTATTGTTATCTTAACTTTTTTTGGTTGTTGTTGTTGTTGTTTGTATATTTTATCGAATTTCCTTTCCTTGATTAACTTTATTTCATTGTATTCTAATATTTGAATAAATTAGACACAGTTATTAAAATAAATAGTATATTAATAATATATCCCAAGGATTAGAAAAATTAGATTATCTGATGTTTCTACTTCTTCAAACTACTTCTTCAAAGTCAGTCAGTCAGTCAGCTACAACGTAGGACCAGGCACATATGTGCATCGGTTCAGGTTGCCATACCGCATCAGCACAACAAGATGAAGAATAAAATATTAATATTAGAACAAAGTATATAAGTGAACAATATTATTTCTAATTAGTTCTTCCATTTTTAATCTAATATACAGTAATGCCTATACGCATATATTATAAAATATTAAACCCAGTTAAGGGTGTTAATAAGCCAATTATAACGAAAAAATGTAGATTACATAACTTCATATAATCATCGGCGCCTGCTGGGATCACCGGGTAAGTAATAGTGAGGTTAGACGCAGGGTATTAGGGAATGATGGTAAATCCGCTGATGAGGTTGTGAATCTTCATCGACTGAGATGGTTGGGCCACGTGTTACGTATGCCTGAAAACCGATTACCAAGACGTGCAATGCTAACAGGTGTTAGAGATGGTTGGAAGAGAATTAGGGGCGGCCAAACCAAAACGTGGCATCAGTGCTTGAAGTCACTATTTTGTGGTCTGAGCGATGTTGGTAGATGCAGACTACTTGATTGGGGTCCTCGTGACTATCGTAACCAATGGTTGGAGACTATTGGTGAAATGGCTCAGGATCGATCACAATGGCGTAGGTGTATACACTCTCTATTTTCTCTTAAACTAAGAGATTAAAATCGCTTCATATATTTCTTTCTACGAACTAATTCTTTCTTCCTATACTGTATCCTTATATGCAATCTTTCTCCTATATATTACCACCTTTGAACTAACTACTTTTATGAATCCAGTGTTCTTCTTGTTGTGTTAATGAGGTATGGCAACTTGAACCGATGCATATATGTGCCTTGTCTTACGTTGTAGCTGACTGACTGACTAATATAATCATAAAAAAAGTACAAATTGATGATAAGATAGATATCTGATCTATTATTACTGATGTGAATAAGACGAAATACGCGTCCTGGATTACTTGGCTAATCACCATCCATCTCTACTTTATAAAAATAATAACAACTAGAATTGTTATTTCAATATAAGTAGTATATTGAAAGTTGACTAAATAGATACCGAAATATTAATCACTAGAAATTATAGAGTAAAGAAGACTAATGATCACTGCTGATACACCTCTTTTTTTTACTATCGGTTTTTACATTTTATTTATTCATTTTAGGTATATAATCTATTTCATTGTTCCTAATAACTGACTTGCTTGGCTTTGTGCTTTTTAATGTCCTCATTTAAATATATCCTGTATGATAGAATGAAGTCTGAAAACTATCTAATCGGAAGCAATATTGCTCATTTATATATGTTTTAAACAATTTTTATAGTAATAATATTAATAATAAGAATGATTATTTTAAAAGTTAAACTGCTCATCTCTTTTTTATTTTACTTTTGTGAATTCTTTACTAGAACGTAATTTAAATCCTAAACAAGCTTGTTTAAAACGTCGTGAAGAGGAAAAAAGTGGCGAAGCACCACATTTCAGTGGTAGCACTGGAGGTGGCTGTGGTAGCAGCAGTAGTAGTAGTAATAATACACATATCAATTCAATTGGAAGCGCCATAAATCGTTTGTGTAATACTAATTCAGTGAATTATTCTACTCCTGTTGTAACATCGTCATCACAAAATCCATCAAGTCATATATTGGATTATGATCCACGTCTATCTCATATTACACATGGAACTGGTATGTATATAGTCTATTATTCATATGTTAGTTGAAAATTTCTTCGTAGTTTGTGTTAAACGGAGTAATTAATTTTCTAAAAATTTTCACTCCGATTCTTATATTAACTATCATTGACATTCTTAGTGCCTACTTTCACAAGTTTCAAAATTTCATGTTACATCACGGTTTACTTACACCTGTTACTCCTGGAGGAGCATAGGTCGCTCACTATCATTCTCTATCCAACACTGTCCTGGGAAATCCTTTCCAGTTGCTATTCATCCTCTTCATGTCTGTTTCCGATTCTCAACTCTGTGTTCTTTGGCCTTTCTCTTTTCCGTTCCCCTTCAGGATTCCAAGTTAGGGCTTGTCTCGTGATGCGATTTGATGGTTTCCGAACTGTATGTCCTATCCAATTCCATCGTCTTTTCTGATTTCCTCTTCATTTGGAAGCCGGTTTGTTCCCTCCCGCGGTAGGTTTTTGCTGATGGTACCCGGTCAACGGACATTGATTATCTCGCGCAGATAATTGCTTATAAATACTTGTACCTTTTCGGTGAAGGTTGTGGTAGTTCTCTGAGTGTCAGCCCCGTTCGTATTGAAGATTCTCGTTTTGATATTGGTTGACGGTTGTTTTGAGTCCCATATGTTCTTCAATTGTAGGAATGCTGCCTTTACGTCTGTATCAGATCCTCCTTGTTCATCGGTAATGCTGTTCAGGTATGGGAAAGTTTCCACCTGTCCCAGAGTTTCTCCATCAAGTATGACAGTGTTGGTGTTCTGCGTGCTATATTTAAGGATGTTGGTTTATCCTTTGTGCGTGTTGAGGCTTGCTGCATCAGAGGTTGCTGCTAAAATGTTTGTCTTGACGTGCATTTGTTAATGTGTATGGGGCAGAAGAGCTTGGTGATCTGCGAAGTTCAAACCGTCTAGTTGCATCGAAGTTGTCTATTGTATTCCACGTTTCCCGTCAGATGTGGAGGTCTTCATAATCGAGTCAGCCACCAGAAGGTGGAGAAAGAGGGAGACAGACAACGTTTTCTGTCTCCGTTCTTCATTTGGAATGTGTCTGTGCGGTATCCTTCATGCACGACTTTGTAGTGTAGTCCGTCGTATGAATTCCGTATGATGGTGTTGACGATTTTCTCATATAAGCCATTATATGGAAGAAGTTTCTATAATGTTCTTCTATCCACACTGACAAACACCTCATAGTGGAGGAAGTTAAACTATAGTGATGAATTCCATTCAATTAATTGTTCAACAGTGATCCGTAGTGTGGCGATTTGGTTTGTGCTCGACCGATCCTTACGAGATCTGACCTGTTGATCTCGAAGTTGGGTGTATACTGAGTCTTTTATCTGGTTTAGCAACAGTATGTCGAAAATATTTCCTGGCACTGCAGCGATGTGATGTCTCTATAGTTCTCACGTTTGCTTGGATCTCATTTCTTTGGTATCCTGATGAGGTGTCCTTCCCAATCCGTGGGCAACTTTTCCCTCCTCCCTAATCTTCTTAAATAGAACGTGAAGCGTGTTTGCAATTACTTCAATGTCTGACTTCAGTTTTTATGTTGTGTGGTCCTATTGGTCTCCCACTTTTGATTTAAAATCAAAATTTTGTTAAAATTCGACATACTTATAAATACATAGGTGGTTAAAAATGGATATGTATATCATGGTATTGTGGAGGTTTTAATAAAGTTAATAAGGTCGTAAAAAAATGAAGACTGGAAATAATAAAGAATCATGTAAGCTGAAATCAGTTAATTAGAATTAAAATTATAGAGTCAAGAGAAATGAAAGTGACTTAATTAAACTTGAGAAAGATTTGAAGCAAAAAAAAATGCTGCAATAAAATGAATGTATTATTATCAGGGTAAAGAAAGGTTTTCGGAGCGAGAAAAGTAGTTGCCATAGACATAGAGTTCATCGCTTGTGTGTGGGCTGTGATACTGCCCGGGTGCCCAAACCGAAGCAGGTGGTTATCTTAGGGGGCCGCTCCCCGAGCCTTTGACCTAAAGGTCTAACCCACAAGGCAGTGGAGCATCGTAAGGAGATGCAGTCCCATGGTAGCCGGTGACCAAAGATTGGTTCATACGCCATTTGTTCCCGCAGGATACTGGAGCCCATGTGCACCATTGCTTTGGAATCCGGTTAAAGCGCCGGACATTCGCTTTTCGTCCTCTCATTTTCGTAAACAACACCCGCCACGAGAAGGCAATGAGTAGGACTTCCCTGGCAGAGGCTGTATACGCGTGGCCGTGTGAGAGTATTTCGAGAGGGAGAGCGGACTCACCCCACTCTCGGCCGTACCAGGACATTCGGGGGCAAAGTATGTGTCAGAGGTGGGATATATATTGGCGCTCTCTTGTACCAATATTCATGTGTCCAAATAAATAAATAAAGGTTTATTAATGTTGCTTATTAAACACATAAATCTGGTTTCAGACGTTAAATCTTTATAATTTTAGCATATTAGAGAAAATTGGTATTCTGTTGTTTATTGGTCATATTCAGTGTATTCAATTTCTATTCAATTGAATAACTAAATGGTTTACAACATTTTTTAAAATACATTTTAGCTGTCTATGGCGAAAATTTGCCAATAGTTAATAGTCGTAATGATTATGCATCATCGAGTACTGGATCTGCTGGAGATGTTTGTACTCCTGGTTATTTACATTCTGAAGTTCAACAATGCCCATCGGAACCGTATACCCATATTACATCACAACAACAACAACCACATCATTTGTCGATAGTTAATAACAGTTTCACAAAAAATGCTACTAATAATAAATCTTCAGATAATTGGCATTCTGGTTCCATAATACAATCAGTTCAATCCACACATTCATTAAATAATAATTCACAAAGATTTGGAACTATTGGTATGACAAGTCATAATTCAGGTGAAGAATACGATGATGATGAAGATGAGGATGATGAAGACGATGTTGAAAGCAGTGAAGATGAAACTAAACCTTCAATTGTACGTTCTATTTTAAAACCTGATATAGACAATGATAACAGGCATTCTTCTGTTCATCATTCATCTACTTCTATCCACCCTGATAATAACAATAATAGTTGCAGTGGAAGTTGAATCTTTCTCTCTTTTTATCTCTTTTTTTCTCAGATGTTTTAAATTTTCACAAAATCATCTCTATTATTATTGTTATAAATTACTACTTATTGACTAGTCCAGTTATATTTGTGCATTTATATTGTTTAAATTGCATTTTCATGCTTATTGTGAGGTTCTTTTTTTAAATATTATGCATTTATGCTAGTTTATTTTAAGGTTTATTATTTCCACTGTTATAATTACCATTATTATATAAATCAAGTAATCATATACATTATAAAACATTACAAAAAGTTTAAGATCCAAGTATGCTTATTTTTGTGCTTAGTATTGATTAATTTTATAAAACATATACACAATATTGTTATAAAGTGACATATTAATCTGTAATAATGACAATTATGGTTATTTCTACCCTTATCCATCTATCTATCTATCCATCGTCAAGTTACTTGTTCTTTCAGTATCCAATATTCCTTCGTGAAAACGTTTATATTTTTTGTCTTATGCATTTATTGTTTAATTCTCCTCCTCCTCCTCCTCCGGTTGATTTCATCTTTGTTTGATTCAGGTTACTTCTGGGATTTGTACACAATCAGTTACCTGTTTCAAAATCTATAAGTGTATCTATGTTTGTTGGTCTTTTATTACTATTATAGTTGTGTTTATTCACCAAGTTTATGTATTGTATTGTTTCTAAATTTAATTGTTCTAGAGTATGTTCTTGAAATTAAAAAAAAAGAATAATGTTTTGAGAAATTAGTAGTTTTTCCATCTCGCTAAAGATGTCAGTAGATCTTAGATAATTAGAGACAGTTCATTTCCTATGTTGTGTTATTAGGTTGTCTGTAATTTTGTTTGTGGTTGACTTGTCTATAGGAATGAATCACGATAAGACAACTATTGAGAACTTATTGTTCTGATCTGTAGCATAGAATGTATACGAATTAGCACTCGTCCTGTGTACATAATGTATCTGCATACAAAATTACTGGGAGGGTGTGACGATTATGTTTGTCATGACATTAAATCTGGATTTCACGTCCGATGTCAAAACTCTTTACGACTTTTAAGATGTGGTTTTTAATGAATATTATTTCTACTTGTTTCATGTTTGGCCACCCTCGTTGAATCCATACTTTCAATAAAAGTGGGATCTTATCAAGTAGGTCTGAACGTGTGTCTGTGTTCTAGAACCTGACGTAGTGTGAATACCTGGTCTATACAACCACGTCCAGGTCGAAAACCAGCCTGATTTTCTCTAGTCTGCTCTTCACGAGCTTTAGTTAGGCGTCGAAGTATTATTGAAGCTAATATTTTAGACACTATATTTGTCAAACTGATTCCTCTGTGATTGTTACAAGAGGATTTTTAACCTTCCTTATAGACTGGCACAATCAGTGATTGAGACCAGTCAGATGGGATTACGTCCAGTTCCCAAATTCTACCTAAGACCTCAGTTAATCTCACTGCTAATACTGGACCACCATCCTTAAAAATCTCAGGAGTAAACCTGTCAGGGCCTGGTGCTCTCCCTCGTTTCTGATTTCCTATGGCTTTTTCAACTTCGTAAAGAGACGGAGGACCTACATTAACTTGCCGTTCAGGTTGACTGGAGATCGTGAGAAACCGAAATGTGGCTGAAGGCCAGTTGAACTGATCCCTAAATTGTTCTGCCCATCGATCCAATCTCCTGGATTGAGAATGTATAATATGTCCATTTTTTCCCGAGATAGTTTCGCTAACAGTTGAGTTCCTAATACCTGTTTCCTTAACAAGTCTGAACAATTGTCTGCCATTACCTATTGCCGCTGCCTTTTCCATCTCTCTTGCTTTCGCTACCCACCACTGTTCACGATAACTGCGTAGACTTCTTGTCAGCTTGCGCTTAAGCTGACTCCGCTCTTCATTATGTTCAGAGCCAGGTGGAATGAGTTTCCGAGCATCTATCAGTGCGATAGATGCTGCTGAGATCCAGTGTTTCTTCCTAACCTTGTGGTTTACCTTACTAGCAGATATCACTTCTGTTTCCACAGCTTTTCGGATATCATTCCATGCTTCCTCGGGGTGGGCATCACCTACATGGCTGCCTGACTGTTTTTCTAGTTGCTCATGAAATATACTCTTAGTTTGACTATCACTAAACAGGGCCCTAAGAGGTTTCCTTGCAGCGTCTTTCTTACGTCCAGTAAGACGCAGGCAAATATGCGCTCGTACTAGAGCATGATCTGAATCTAAGCATGTGCTCTAGAATGAGCGACAGTCTTCTATCGAACCCCTCCATCGGTGGCTGATAGCGATGTGATCTATTTGGGTCCAACGTTGGGACGAATTAGGTGGTAGCCATGTTAAAATATGTTTTTCCTTATGCTTGAAGTTAGTATTTGCAAGGAACAGGCGGTTATCTGAGCATAGCCGCAACAGACGGTTGCCATTATCTGTTCTTTGAGCCACGACACCATAAGATCCACCTAGGTGTCTTTCCTTTTCACTTAGTTTACCTATTTGAGAATTAAAGTCACCAGCCATTATTACTTAATCAGAGCGCCTAGCTTTTCGGAGAAGGTCGGAAAGCTTTCTGTAAAACTCGTGTTTTACATCTCAGCTGCAGTCAATGGGAGAATATGCAGAGACGATGAAGAGGCGACGACGAGCGTCTCTATCTTTCCGAGTCCTTACTGTTCCGTTCAGTCGGACAGCGCACAAACGACTGTCTACTGGGATCCACTCTAAGAGAGCTAGTTCTGCCCTAGGACTCAAAGCTATACCTACACCGACGAGGCCACGGGAAGCAGAATCTGGGCTTCCAGATACACGAAGTGTGAATCGAGTTGGTTCTTTATTTTGGCATGGTGAGGTCAAGTGAATGACGCTACTCGGATCCTGTATGCGCGTTTCGGAGACGCAGCACACATCGATGGCGCGGGATTCTAAAGTCTTAACTAAGGAAGCCTGCTGTCCTATTTGTCACAGTGTTCGGACGTTAAAAGCTCTTATATGTAGTTTAGAGCGTGGTTCCAGGAGATCGGGAATAATGTTCTGCGTACTTGAATCGTTTACCCTAGCGGTGCGAGGTGATAAAGAGACGTGAGGAGGGTTAGTCATGGAGATAAGAGAGGTATTAGGAGGTGTGGGAAGGATTTGAATGTGACCGACTTGGTCTCGTGTGCTGTTACGGGTATGAGGGCTGATATCACTTCCCGGCTGCCCACACTGTGGAAGGGTATTTCTTGAGGAACCTGAAAAAGAAGTTGGATTAATGTTGGTCTTAAAGACCTGAGAGCGTGTCCTCAGAGCCAAAGGGACAACTGCTTGAGGCTGGTCGCGCACGGCCTTTTCGTGGAAGGTTTTTAATGTGTTATCTCCGTTCTTCAAAGAGCCTTACCGCCGGAGACGGAAATCCGTGAGGTAAGGTGAGGTGTGACATTTTTAGGGTCGACCTTTTCTAACCCCACCCCTCCTTGTGGGAAGGCAGGATCGCTGCAGATGCTGGTCGTCCGAGGGAAACACCTTACTGCTGTCACACCACTCCACAGTCAGCAGTACGACTTCGCCCTCAGACTTTGAGTTGGTGCTTTTAGTCTTACCGTCCTCTATCCGATGTGCCTGGCATGGTAGAACCTACAGGAACATATGTTCCAGCCAATATAGCTCGGTTGGATCATCACGATAGGCAGTTGTGACCACTAAGTCAAAGTGCCAGCTATGGTTGGTATTAAGTTACTTGGAATTGTAAATGAATGAGTTGTTACTTTCTCGTGGTGATATTATCTATTTTAAATGATTTTCGTTTAAACCTAAGCTTCTTTATATATTTATATTTACATTATTTTATGAACTAATCACTTCTTTGTACTTGACGACACGCTCATTACGAGTTCCAAATATAATGCGTTCATTTGTGTTCATCTAGTTCTAATTGCTGTATATTATACTGTGTTGGGGATTCGCAGTTAACAAATGAATTCTAATACTTCCAATCATTATAGGTCATCAAACAGATATTTAAGGCCAACGAAATGTCACTGAGCCCTAACCAAAACATCCGGCAGTCTAGTCACTGAGTGTCGACTAGTTCACCAATCCCCGTGAAGGTCTATGACAGCCAACAAGCATAAAATAATTGCACGCCGTGGAGTGGCCCATGTAGTAGTGGTCTCACTCTATTCCTTATACCAACTCCTATCAATATATGTCTGTAATTACATCGCTTGTATTGTACGGTCACCATAGAAGCTATAGCAGGTCAAGTACTAATCGCAAGGTATGACTTCGACTTCAGCCGGACGGTCACACCATTCCCGTCTAATTGGAGTAGGTCATCATTCATTTGACACAGATCACCTACGCCAGTGGTCTACAGATACATGGCAGGTAAGCAAAGGAAGGGATATTAGACGGATTGATATAAGGGATCCGGGTTATTCATACAACAAGGCATGAATTAACTGGGAGAATTCAATTAATGTCATATACTCTTTCAGATGCTATATTCTAATATGAGTATAAAGTTGTGCAGATTTTATATGTCCGTATCAGTCACTGTAGTTGATTACTGTGTCTAACGTGGAGATTAATGTATCAGAATAGTTACACAGTGGTTTACTTAGTAAAGTAAGTAACGGCACTCGAGACTATGGTACACTGGAGTTCGAGTGTAGCTGAATGGTGTAGGAGTTTATGGGCGTTGAGACAAACATCAACTAAGCTCGATGCAAATATACCCATCACTATGTACACAGCACTAGTGATATCCAGAACTGCAAACGTAGTTCGGGCCAACGAATCCTTAATCATAAGGGGACGCAGAGATATTCAAAAGAGTCCAGAGCACAGTTGACTGCAGACCCTGTGTTAGGTCTCGATAAACATGATAAATGGTAACTTTGGGATCCTTTTATGGGCCAATACTAGAAGTATATTTTTATCGTACAGTTGTTATGTAACTAAACTGTTCATATTCATGTTGCTCTCATTATAAGCTCTATTTTGGCCTATGAACTATTGTTTTACGATTTACCGTTCTTTAATTATGCCCTGTCTATTAGTCACTGCCTCACACATTCACAGCCACATTTGGCCAAATTTTGTACGAATGTTATTTTCTATTTTATGCTACGTTGTGGTCCGTCTGATTGGTATATAAACTCAGTACGTTTGAAATATAATGATTCATATTACAGAGGCTGAGACTGGTGTTCTGGACTTAACTGGCTGGGCTAGGCGGAAAGCAGGACCAGTCAGGACTCTAGACTGCTTGCACTTGTTTCACGCGTCCTTGGTCTGATCGGTAATTCTATGCTTCTGGTTGGAGGTTTTGGGCTATAACACTCTGAAATTTTGAGGTTAACCACAGGCAGTATGACTTGAAAAGTTGTACTTCCTAAAGGTGTTTCATCTAATTATAATTTTTAATATACTAGGAAACGACACTGAAGTTAATGCTTCATAGTTATTTCTTTCAACTATAAGTAAATAAATAATATATATTCTCAGATAACGATTTGTTACATGAATATTGCAGGTTTTAAGGAAAGGTCAAATTGTTACGAATGCAACAGGTTTTAAGTTGGTGTGTTATAGTTGTAGAAACAGGGGATAAGTTTTCGTAAATTAGAATACTGATATTACTAGAACTCTAATGTTCAGTACGATAGGACACCTTAACTTGTGATACTTCAACAGGTAAAACTCCCCTCTTTGTACCTAATGATATGAGACGAAACATTTTTGAGAAATTACACAGCATATCTCA